GCACGGGAATGATGGTGGCGCTGGCGACGACAATGGTGGTGGAAGTGGTAGTCCATGACATTAGAGATTGAAAGTGAAAAGAGAGAATTATATGTCTGTTTTTTTATATGTGTTTTGCTACATTGCCAAAAAGGGTTCACAGATAGCATGTGAGTGCTTGATAAGCATATTTTATATACTTATCTGTACCGTTAAATGATATTAATTATAATATATTTTGATAACTTATAGTTTAATTAGATGTTAATTTTGCTTGTTAGGTAAAATTCGAGGCAAATTGGTGAATTAGAAGAAGAAATGAACGAAAAACGAGTAAAAATGAAAAAAAAAAATCCAAAGTTCGAGAACCAAAGTACAAATACTCAATAGTTATTTTGGATCATAAAATGATTATTAAATATCACATATGATCAAATGGATGTAATTGGAGGTCAAATGAGTGAAATATAGTTTAAATATTTTCACAGATCAATTTTCAGCTGAAAATGTTATGCTTCGAATATTCAGTCTCAAATTGAGATGGGTAAGCAAATATTCGAATTGGAAAATTTCTATTTTTAGATGCATTGTAACTCTATGAATTATCTTTCCAGCGCACTTTCAATCACCTTAATCGGATATCGGAAGAAAAAATTATGACCAAAATACCGAAGGTTGCTCAGGGACGAAGCGATCTGCCTGAGCGAGCAATTTAGGCACTCGAGACCTTGTTTTCACCAACTTGAGAGCTGGAACATTGTTAATTCTAAAACCAAGCTTGCAATTTCTGGCTGTGCTCAAATTCCTTTTTAATTCAAATTCTTCAAGTATTTGGCTTGATTTTTGGACTCTTATAGATACAAAACTAGCTAAACGCATGTGAAAACTCTCTCTAATATCTAGATACACAATAATATAATCAAATTCATTAAGAACAAAATGTCGATTCACCACTTTTGAGAGAGAATATCAAATCCTAGCAAGAAATTGAAGCCAAATATATCAAGAATTTGAAAAATTCAACTTTAAAATTGAAGAACTAGATTTCTTACATCCTTTCATGATCGGGGTGAGGTTGGATCCATTTTATATTAGATAAGATGATCCCTAGTGTTTATTTATTTTCATTCAAAACTGATAGTTTAGTATTTATTGCGTTTATTAATTAATTTGCATATCCAATGTATTATTTAATTGTTTGGCCGGACATCAATTAGATAATTAGTTGCCTGTTATAGTGTTTGAAGCAGGGGCGGAGCTCGATACAGTCCAGGGTGGGCACAGGCCCACCTTGAACTTCTGGACTCATTTTTTTTAGGGAAAAATTTATGGATCAGGTATTATCTTTGTTAAAATCAAAAATCAGGTGCTAAGTT